ACTACTTGTTATATTTCAGTAACATTTTAAATTGGATTTCTTATTGTCCCCAACGCATCGCATACGCTTACTGACATGCACCTCTGCAACTTTTGTCACCGGATATACCATTTATTTCGCTGCACTCGAAACGACCGCTTTACAACTGCTCGTACCACTAACATTCGAGACTGTTTGTCTGTACAGATCTGACGCTTTTCCGATTAATTGTTCCCTTTATGATACCTTTTCGAGTTTTTGAGATTTTGCAGTTGCATGTACACAAATAGGGAGTTCAAATGTGAAGACCTACATTTCCCTCAATAAACTGAACTGAACTGAAGGAAGCATTTCAGACTGTCAACCGGACGTCAGCGAGCTTCTCTAAAGGCCTACGCCAACGTGTGCTGGCAACGGCCGAGGCAGTTGCTATACGGCTAGCGAATCTAGTGCTGTGCTGTCAGAAAACGCTGACACAAGCGCTCTCTCTACCACAGCCACCGCCCATCTCAAACGGGCTTTGCATTTATGGGAGAATATTTATCCCAGCGTTTATGATATTTTTCAAATGGTATTCCGACACGGCAAAATGCAGCAGATCGGTTTTCAGTCATTCCTATTATTTATGCAAATCTTTCGCGTTAAAATATACTGAGGACCGATTGAGTTCCATGTACTTTGTAAGTGTATAGTCTCCAAAATGTCTTCGCCCAGGAATAATGCCATTAATTTGAGGCCGCAAAGAAAACAATTTTTTGTGCAGAAGTGCATGCGCATTCGGCGCGTAAAAGGTGTGCTCCATTTTGTACCTCCTGGAAATATGTACTCCCTCCAAACATTTTACAATGATCCATTACATTTTGATGTCATGTTGATTTCCTTTATTGAGTACAGACATCTTAGAAAATTGCGGTAGACAGTAGCTTGTGGACATTGTCAGTCTTTAAAAGAAAGAAATGTCCTCCACACCTAATGTGCTGATTTTTCGACCTCACAGGAACACGTAAGACAGAAGTCTGCAAGTTCACAGAAAGTGCAAATCCTAGACGCATGTTAGTTTTGAAATTTTCCTCTACAATGCTACATGCATTCCAACCATTTCCTTAAAGCCACCATTTAGTGCTTGTTGATGTGTCAATTTTTGAATATTGTCTATTATCAGAAATGTCTAAATTCCTGGACGATGATGATGATAATACAAATGCTGTTGTTGAATGCTTGATGGTAATACTACTTCAACTCACTACTACAAATAGATTAGCTCACCAATATTCAATAAGTCAGACATACGCCCTTTACTAAGGCAGGGACCTTGTTGTCTTATTGGAATTAGGCAGTATCGATTTTATTAATTTCGTAAGGCTGGTGTAGGACTTTATTTCTTCTCCTCAGAAGAAGGTATCACGCATTAATATCATTTTTCTTAAAATGCTAAGTCCTTGCTAGGACGTTTCTGGATGACCCTGTCGTGTAGTTGGCTTAAGTATCGAATCAGTCTATCCCTCCGTTTTGTTCCCTGTATGCAGACGGTGGCGTTTTCCGCAAATGACACCGACTCTCCCTCTTCGTGCTTAGCGACGCTGCAATATTGCCAACTAACTTCCGAAAAATTTGAGCAAGCAGGAAGCATCCTACAAAACGCAGGGTGCGAGAAACAAGAGATTCCTTATGAAAGGACTGTCGGACAGGAAAGCATGTTGCGACGAACCGGGAACTAGTTTGTTTATAAGAAAAAACTTGTTGTTTATGATGCAAAAATGTTAGATTATGCAGCAAGAAACCGCACTAAGGCTGGGTATACTATCATTTCAGGTGCGCAAAAAAGGAACAGTTTGTCTTTGGCCAGCCGCTGAAAAATTTTGTGAGCATGGTGTAATATACGTTTGTTTACACGTAGTATTTGCCCCGCCCCTTTTAAATAGGTTGTTCAACCATAGATTATGCCCCAAGTTCCTTCTTTCGCCTATAATGTTCAGTACGCAATCGTGTTGAACTTTAACATCATCCCCTTCTACTTAATATTATACTTTTTCGGAACCAGGAATTACGTGCTCCATTGTGCAGTGATGTTTGCTATCTTTAATACCCGACAATGATCAGTGTATCCACAAATTGTTCAAAATCAGAACTAAGTTCTCTGAGCGAGTGTAGTTAGAAGCTCAAAGGCTTCGTCGATGTGGCGTGAGGATATTAGCCTACTTCAAACTTGAAAACAGTTTTGCTCTAGTTCTACTTACTAAATAGGTCTGACACTAGATAAAACCCGCGCCGTCCGTGAATCACACTCTCGACCTCCTACTCAGGAGCTTAAGATTGTTTACGTGTTCGGAGTGGCAAGAATTCGTGTTAAATGGCGATGGAGGTTCAAAGCAGTACCGTGGCAGCCTACGCTGACCCGTCAGACAAGCTCACCTACATCCACGTCAACTCTGGAAGTCACTCACTTTTGCATCTTCAAAAACCCTGCTAAAATTCATTTGAGCAAACACGTCCCAAATTCCCCCGATGGCCTCTCAGTGAGTGCAGTAAGAACTTTAAGGGCCTAATCCATCTGTCACAAAAGGTCACTTGCCTTCACGGTTCGTCTGATAAACAACCCAGTCTTACGCTGTCTGTCCTGCATGTCATCGAAATGCGGGTCAACCCGAATGCTGCCTTAGACAGTCGGTCGGTTTTTGTGTAATTAAGCTGCTTACTAGTTTAGATCGTTTCTGGTGATAAAAGGTAAGGTGATTGTAGAAGAAAGAAGTGAGCGTCGACATATGGTCTACGTTATATGCTTAAAATCCAGACCCCATAGGCTCAGAAAGAAGGCGGTTGTAACGGACATATTCCATGGAGAAGGAGGCACTATCGCAGGGACATAAGCTTTATTTGCCTGACGTTTCCTATTCCTCCTTAGATACATCGTCAGAGACATAAGCTGATACGGGTTGCTCAAGCACAAAAGACTGGAGTATATATAGGATGTGGTTGTCATGCTACCACATACCTATGAATATTCGCGGTTGCTGAGGTTCATCAGGGATCGTTGTACTTTGTGTGATGACCATTTGGTGCCGACATTTGCGTACTTATTTGCTGCATTTTATCACGTACATTGGGTGTTGGTGTAATGATTGGTCGACCATCTGACCCACCGATCCTGGCGTTGGGAACAGTCTTCACCCGTGGGCTCCCCGCGTGGCTAACTATTCGCCTGGGCAAGGTCAGAGCACCGAGTAGCGAAGTGGAAGATCATTGCACCTGTTAATGGACTGGGGGCCAGTAAACCATTACTTAAGGAGCTCCCGGCTCACGCGGTTGTCACCTCCTGAGAGAAGTTCGGCCTCGTTGAATTTGAATGAACAACACATACGACAGCACACCACAGTTTGACCGTAGTGACCAACGATGTCCACCGTATGTTCCACAGCAAGGTCGAAGCAGGAATGGTGACTTGCGCGTGAATTGTTTTATAGTGATAGAATATTTCCGTTGAATCAACCACACTCTCCTCCTCCCCCACCTGGGCACGGTGCGATGACCTGGTCAAGAATACTGGAAGCGGGAAAGGCCGCGGGTGCCTGCGCTGTGAAAACCCGCATCTAAACGCACCACTACACCTTCTGGTTCACAACAAACACTTGACCAGGATCTTAGAGAAGAACGAAAGCGGTGGACAACGCGAATCCCAGTTGGCACAACATCAGCCGGCAACTGGACATGCCGCCGGACTCCCATCGAGTCCTTGTGTTAGTCCTGCACATCTACCGTACGGCCCGTCTTGGGGGCAGAGAACAATGCATTCACTACATTTCCATGTAGTATATTCAGCAATGTCAACCATCCTGAAGACAAAACGGGTCGCTGAAATAAAACTGGTAGGCTGTTTATATTTGTAATGGTGATAATTGCGGTCTAATCCTTACTATTTCCATGAAATTAGGAAGCCGATTAGCATATGTAGTTGACCGACATTAGTAGACATGACGTGGAAGGTAGCATCAACAGGTCGATTGTTTTGCTTTAGAGCAACAGTTCGGAAGTCCAGCCAGGCCAGTAATTATTGCCGCAGGACATGTAGCGTAGTGTCTGAAATGTCGCTATTGCCACCCTTACATACAAAGTTCACAGCGTACGTTCAGATTAGTGCCGCGCCCAGAGCCCGGGCGAATGCCACTTCGATGGGCTGACCTTGTCAGAAAGCGGTGCAACTACCAAGTGTATGGGCTGTGTTTATCCCCATATCTTTACTCAGCTCCGTGGCCAGAAATGTTTTTATTGTGCAACCACCAAGCGAAGTTAATGTAGAAACGCTTGTGGACTTAACTCTCAGAGACGTGTCCGGTGAGGTAAGATAGACCCTTCAATCAGTTTAACAGCAGCTTTGCTATTCCCACCGCAAGTACTAAGGTCAGACTACCGTGTGTCATTCACAGAAGGCCTCCTTGAGCATACCATAACCGTAAAGCACCCAGACGTTTGTCAAATGCACATTCGCGGCAGACGTCCCACCCTTTCCGCACTTTGCGCTGACAAAGCTGCTCGAGATTGCATTGCCTAACCCGGCGAGACCACAATAACGAATCTACCGGGTATGGAATCCTTTTACAACGACACTCTAATCTCGGAAGTGGATCGCAGAATCCTTATGCGCATGCCTGGGAAAAAAACCTAAAAATCCAAGTTTCGATTTATATGGCTAAGACAACTTGTCATATACCATGGTGAGGGCAGAGGTTTGTCTTGCTTCTCGCTACCTGCTCAGTTCTTCGGCATAGGGCTCCCTTGGGCATGTACACAGATTTTCTAATGAGATGTCATCAACAAGAGGCTTTGCTTATAAATAGTTAGGATGGCTTGTAAGACAGGACCAAGAGGGCAGAAGCTTGTTCTGCAGGAGACGAGATTTTACGCAAAAGTTCAGTAAAGTACATGTAAAAGAACATAGTTGACGCACACAAAATTATCTGGTGAGGAGATCATAACCATCGTCAGTTATCAAGACCATTTCTTCAAACTGCGCAGTCAGAGCATGGTCAGATGTGCCCAACGGACCAGCCATCCGGCTGAGTGGAAGGAAGTGCAACATAACTCTCACCTGCCCCTTCGTCAGCCGACGCAGATGGGGCTGCTATACAGGTCTCAACTGTAAAGATGTGACCTGGACACATGACACCATGGTCATCTGGTCTCTCTTCATAGATACAGTGGCCGATGTCCGGAAGGCCATGGCAGTCGGTTCCAATTCCATGGCCGTTAATACCGACCACAACACGGAAATTGCCACAACTGAGAGCTGCTTGGGAAACGGCCTCAGCTATACAGCGATAAGGGACACCTGGACCACAGGCAGAGACTCCAGCTTGGCAGCACTTCTGGGCACAATGCAGGAGATCGCTAATTCCTGTCGGGGCCGAGCGCAACCGAGATTCGCCAGGAACAAGAAACGTGACACAAGCGTCCCCATGAACCTGACCATCGTAAAGAGAGACATCCACCGAAATCAGGTCATCCGCACGTAAAATACAATCTTTTGAAGGTAAACCGTGAATGGCCACTTCGCTCACGGAAGTGCATACCGTGCTACAATAAGCAAGAGGAAGACGAGAAGACAAATGAATAAATGAATGGTGAAAGTCCAAGCTCAACAAATAACGGCCAGAACAGAGAGTATCAAAACGTGCAGCAGCGTAGATATCGTCCGTTAAATATGAAAAATGACTTAAACAGGCGATTTTGAAAACAACGTTCTCGAATGAAAATGGTGTACTTGATATTGAGCAGAGTAATAGTAAATGACTGGAGGAGGTGGTATGGTTAATGGTCATTTCAAATTCGCAGTCTGCAACAAGGAAGTTATTGTGGCTGTCCACTGCTAACGGATGGTGTAGTTACTACGTTATGCGTAGTATCCTAATGACGCTAGCTAGTTTTATTTGCCTACATGGAATCAACGAAACTGAATTTGAGTGAACGAGTTTGGAAAAGAGGATTCAGGTAGTGCTTGTGTTGTATAATGTTGGTTTATATTTTGGAACAGTATAGTGTGCGTAATGGACAGCAGTGACAAGAACGAGTCCTACTGACTTAGGAAGACATTTGTGTATGGAATGTGGAGGCTCTGAGGTCGAGACGTTAAGGTAATCAAACGAGGAATACTACGAAACCATCTCCAAACGAACTCCTGAGACTTAGTGTACCAGAACTGCAATGACTATATTCCAGCCATAACTGAGAACGGATCGGATAGAGAAAAGGAGCCTTCACTTGGCTAAACGCTGTGAGAAATAAATGTCTTAAGGGCAACGTAGACCTGCAAAGAAGTATCGTTAGTCCAACCAAGTTGTACGAAAGACCCCAGGCACTAAAAACGTTTAAAGCCCCGCAGTGGGACTTCGGCAAGAATCAACCTGTGGATATAAGGTGGATTTGATGACCATGTTTATCCTCCTCCGAAGCAACAAAGAGTTGGCACATTTGGTGCTTCCGTCAAACTCTTAATAGGTTTACTGTAGAGCTTAAAATGGGTTTGTGAGACCTAAAACGGCAAGCCAGACCCCTTGTGCTATCGAACTGGTCCTCAGTTTAGCACAGTGTCTGAGCTTGTTTCCGCATTGTTACTTGCGTTCTCATCGTTAGCCTTCCTGACTGCATGGTTTACGACATCACGGACAGGGGCAGCTCATGCTCTGCCACCAACAGCTGGGACCTCAAAATGCCCATTTCTTGACGAACATTGGCGAAATCTAGTAATTTTGGCGGGTCTGACATAATTACATCTGTCCACCTTTACACAGTCAACACAGAAAACGGATGTTTGAAGAGGTAACGTCGCGAACGAACTCGCCTTCGAACCGACGGACTGTGCAGTCGAAACGTGTGAGACGGTGACCCATCGAAGTTTCATCAACCGGTGACAACGAAAGTTGGTGGCTTTTAAATTTCAAAGTGGGGCCGGTCAGCCAAATTAACAGCATTACCCACAGAAGAAAGGTTTCAATTATCTCAGAGGGGAATGTAGGAAGTCAAGATAACGAGATCTATGTGCTAGCATCAAGACCAACCAACCAGTGCATCCACAGATGGCGGACGAAAGAAGGCACCTCAGCTAATAACTGCATGGGAATAAGCGAGGTCTTGCGCCTGACAAATCAGGCTCCGGTGAGTAAATGCATGCAGATTTGTTCGGGACCGACGTAATTGAGCGGTGTCACACGGCAAAAATTGGTAACTAGTCGATGAGAATTTCCTAAGCTCCTTCGGTTTTTGTTCCCCTCATTGGGCGGGGGGACTGCAATTACGTTTCATTCATATTCCAACGAAACCCCCGTAAACGTAGAAGACTTCGATCTGATCGTTACTATATGTAGTTGGCGGATACATACTCATTTGCCCATTCCATAATTACGCAAATGGCGTTGCATTTTAAAAAACGTAACAAATGACATGCAGCAAAATGGTGGGCAGGGCGAACTATATTACCCAAAACGATTCTCTTGAATTTGAATTCCAATAGGACGGCGGGAAGTAACTTGAAAAAAAATAAAACAGGTCGGTCATCAGGATTCAGATCTTTATGAGTGCATGGGATGCTCGCAGAAATGAGAACTGTGTAGATTTATAGGCAAAAAAACTCGCCGGAGCTCAAGATGAGAACTAACCTAGGGAAACCCTTATAACCTAAGGGGAGGGGTACAAGGAGTGTTTTAGACAGAAATCAACAACGAAATTTTCAATTTCCGCTGTCCTTGTCCCAGGTACAATTAGTAATGCGAGAGAATCTAGAAGCGTTCTAACCCGTTTGCCAATAGACCGCATCTGAGCGATTTTGCGCGGCCCATGTACCTCCGGAACCAATGGGACACCCTCACGGCCCTCTGAGACGTAAGGGGGAGGAGCTATTCCATTAGATGCAAAAGCGTGACCGAGAAACGCGAGTATTTACGGAGGACGCAGGAAAGACTTGACGCGCTGAAGCGAAACAGCCGGAGCGCTAACATAACCACCTTTTTAAGTCCCGACACACTGTTCAAGGTAAAGGACACTGTCAGCGAACAAGTAAAATCAGTTAGATAATTGCTCAGCCATGTCAGATCCTCCACAAATTAGATTCTGGATTAATTGCAGCATAACGTTTGAAGAAAATGTCCTGTGAGTCTGGAAATCTACACAAAGCGCTGAAACATAAGGTGGAATTTTTATACCCGCGGAAGGCGTAGACGAAGTATTCAGGGTCTATAGCCTCACCTATAAACATCGGTCGTCGAAACACCCTTCTAAATGTTATTTAATAGCACCAAACGCAGTCTCTACTCGTAGATTTACGCACTGGGTGGGCATTTCTGAGTTCACAAAAGAATGCTTGGACGTCTTCGCTGGCGAGGTAAACAAACAAGGCTAAGGTAGATATGCTTGGGTTACAAAAGTAAGTATGCAAGAGTACAGAATATCTCGCAGCTAGACTCGCCACGGTGTCCTTATTACTTTCTTTTGGAATCCATTCACGCATAACAGGTAATACGTCGACTCGATAACTTAAAATAGTTAGCTACTAAGGCTGTCAATGAAGTAGACGACTTTTTCAAGGAGACCATAACGTCTGACCGCATCGGCAAGCCAATGGTTCTATTTCACTCATCCTCAGTACTAGCGCATGCGCTGTTTTCGGTATCAAAGTAGGAAATACTTTTCGTGGTTCAATACTCTAGACGATCGGTTTTCGCTCAATCGCATATCAAACGTTCGGGCACTGTTACGTTGACAGAACGTCGAAGTCCTACCAAGGGTAGACTTTATAAAACTGACCTACACATACGTGCACATCGTATGATATTTTAATCAATGGACTGTATATATATATTGTCAAACGCTTGTATTGATCCAATATATTTACCAAGAATAATCTAGATAGTTCCACCAAAGATAGATAGTTCCACCAAATTATAGATAGTTTCACCAAGTTCTACTCCTTGCACCAACCGTCATCCCTTTTTTGTCCATTAAATAAAACTCTGTCTCTCTGTATGCTATACCAAAGGCAGCCAAACTGGCGGACTTCACACAATCAGGTTATTATTAAAACATGTCATACTGGCAGCCAGGCCACCCTAAATTCATTTTTTACTGGCTAATATGCTTACGCAATAGCGAACACAGGTATCTGCTCATGCTTCTAGTCACGGACTAAAGGTAGTTAGTTTAAATAGAGTCAGTCTTTGCTGAATTGGTTCCGTTAACGTGGACGCATAGGAACAGATCGACTGTCCTTTTAGTCCGCAAAATGTGTTGGTAACTTACGTTCCACAGCATCAACTTGTGCGGTTGGGCAAGAATTCACCTTTCCGGGCAGAAGTTAACTGGTTAAAGTCAAAAACATATCAACACACTAAATAATTAATCCTGGCAAACACGAATAATTACTGCTGGTTGTCAATATTCTAAACTGTAAATTCGCATTCAGCAGATTCCCAATCGAAGAATACTAGTGCAGAAGAGATGGGAAAAGGTTAAACTATGCTTTATTTTCGAGTAACATTCCAAAATTTTCGACAAACCTTCCCTCATTCAACGTAATCGAAAATGATTATAAGACAGGTAGCATTGGGATGTTTGAAAAAGGCAATATGTTGGCCGTAATCTGCAACTTTGATTATAATTGACAATCCTCGGTTACTTCCATGCAACATTGAGTGAGATTTATTTCTTTCAAAACTGTGAAGCATTGTGTACACATGGTCCCAAAATCGTAGTTCAAACAAACACGGAATAGAAAAAATCAATATATAACGGATACAATCGGCCAAATGGAATGCAATTGCGAAGAGATTACGGCAATTTTGTCCGGTCCCACTTAGAATATTGCATACAAGCATGGCGGCCATGGCCCGTATAGGACCAAACATGCCTTGAAAGAGAACAGCTTCCTACAAAGAAGCTGGTTAACGGTCAAAAAAACCAATCCTACACAGACAGACTGAATTGCCTTAATTTATTCCCTCTGTGTTAAAGGCCGCAAACAGGTGATCTTATCATCGTCTATAAGATAATGCATGGCCTGAAGCATGGACTTAGCTTTGAGATCAAGTTTCAGTCACACCTTTCACCCAAGCTTCGTGTTCACTCGATGAGACTACGGAATAAAATGTCCAGGCTAAATCTTAGATCTGACTTTTTCACGCAAAGGGTAGTGAAGAACTGGAACGATCTCTCTCAATCCGTCGTGGAAGCGACGTCCCCGCAACTCATCAAGAAACGCTTGGATGATTACTTGTGTCCGCTGGATTCCCACGACAGTCTGAACCTGAAATAAATACCCCGCGACCCCGGAATATTTTATCTAAGAAAATGCTACTCAAATGAATCAAATGCTGTTATAAAAGCGAATATATTCATTTTCCGTGTGCAGAAGAATCTAACGCGCGTATATGAAAAGTGTTATCGGTTGTCTGCAGAGGGATGAGCACCGAACAGTCACGATCTTCCCATTCCTTATTCTAAGGGTTTTCTCGCAGGAATTTTATCTATTGAGGACTTCGGCCTCATGATCCCTCCATTTCTTCCGTTCGACCGGTGCAAAATACCGCTCAGTAAACACACTTGGGGTCATCGTCATGGAAAGAAGTTTGCGAATTTTTGACTTTAGTCGAGATATAATTTGTGCAAAGTAGGAAGAATAGCGGATCCAGAACCGTGCCTTGAAGACCGCCACACGTGATCGAGTAAGGCGTTGAGTAGCCATTAACAGTCATAACTTTCTGATATCGATTAAATAGATACGACCGGATGTCGAGGGCTTCCACTTTTACCGAAAGACGTCCATGAGGCACCTTGGCAAAGGCTTCAATAAGATCAAGGTAGTTTACTGCCACTGACTGTTATTCATTACGAAGAGTATTGATTAGATTAAGAAATGCCAAGTGGCCAATTTCATAGGATCGTTCAGGTAAAATAATTCATGCTCATTAGAGCTCAGAAGCTGGTTAGCTAGACAGAGGTCAAAAATTTCATTGAAAACTATCCTTTCCAGCAGTTTTGCTGGAGACGCAGTTTTGTGCACGCCCCGATAGTTATTAACATTGGCCCGAGATCCCGATATGAAGAAAGCTATGATAATTGACGTCTTCCATGTTTCAGTAAAACATCATGCGAAATATAAACCGAGAACAAATAACTAGGCCTGTTTAACAATCGAATTTGGAATCCCGTGCGTTCCCGAGCACTGCGAGTTATTCAAACGACTTATGTGTTTCTTAATAAGATCTGCGGAAACATCGATTGTACTCCGTGTCCTATCCGAAAGTGAACGAAAGGAGGGGACTGGTTCGGACTCAGTAGAACGGTGTGTTGCAAAGAAAGTACTAAACGGCTCCGCCTTGTCAGTGTCATCGATAAGGAAGATTTTGTTATCGTTTGGCAGATGTGGAAGTTCGTGACCACACTTGGAGGAGGAACGATGACGTACGATGTTACCGACGGATTTGCAAGGGTTCGAATCACTGAAAGCAAGTGATTCTCTTTGCCTGCCGCGCACCTATCTCATCCTTGAGGCCATTTTGAAATTTTTTTGTGATTGTTAGATGAATGAATTGAAAACTAGTAGAGAGGTCGCGCGGGTGCCATCTCAAGGTTTTTATTCTGTTACGAAGAAACTGAGGAACATAATCCAAGATTTCCTTGGAAACATTGGACAAGACGTCGCAAGGTGTGGTTGGGTCACGACACGAGAGAAAGCCACACCAATCCAATGATCCGGTATAGTTTTTTATCAAGTTTTATCCACGCAATCCCAATTTATTAATTCTGAACTGTATTGGTCTATTTTGAAAAGGCCAGCGGTATGCAACAATGAATTAAAACGTTGTCATTATCAAAAAGGTCCTGTTTGAGACAAAATCATTGATAAATATTAGATCTTAAATGTGATTACTTCTTGTTGGAGGGTGCACAAGTTGAGACCAATTAGAAAAATTGACAATATCTCGGAAAGGCTGGAATCCAGATAGACCCAGTTTATTTCAGGAAGGTTAAAATCCCCTATGATTATTTTAAGATTGAAAGCAGCTTCCGAAATTAATTTACAAATTTTGCAGAGTTGGGAATCATCACTAGCTGAGGCGTTTTGTTGTTGGAGATACAGCCACTTATTGCATTTTCTGCGGCACTCACTAAACTACTATATAATTTAGTCTACTTAGTATGTCTCATCAGTTCCTTTTTATTATTTTCTCAATTAATTTGTTACGAATGCTTTTGAGTCTCGCCAGTCTTAAACTATTTGTCGAGTTTCTCTCTCCTTCTTTTCATATTGGTCTTATGGTTTCTAGCTTAGAGTCATCAAGCAGAGCTAGCGCCCCCACCTATCTTTGAAATATCTTGGATTGTGGCGAATCTTGTTCGTCTGAGTTTATTCAGAACTTTTGCGGAAATGCCATCCCGACCCGGCGATTTATGTGTAAATGTGTGTATGTATACATTTGTACGGTTAGAGGCAGAACCCTTGATGACCCTATTTATGTACAGTGCTTTGGCAGATCCGTACTCAAAAATAAAATTACAGGCAGTTACAATGTGACCGGGTCACCGTTCAATCGTAATCATAAAATAGTGCATAAGGTCACTGCAAATTTTTGCGAAAGTATTGTATATGACTGTTTTTTACAAAACTGGCTGTGCATAGTCATGCTGTAAAAGCCGATTTCTGTCGAAAACTAGACGAGCACGTTATCTTTTAAACACACTAATTGTGTCGGCCGTCACCATCTCGCTTGGAAGCGAGTTCCATGGTCCGACAACCCGCTGGTTGAATGAAAATTTTCGACGGTCTAACCGCGCGCCCTCATTCCCGACTTTTTAGGCATGGCCGCATAGTTGGTTTGTACGGGCAAACTCAAAGACGTCCTCTGCTCTTAATGAGCAACCCTGGCCGCGGACAATCCGGAACGTCCAAAGCCGACTGCAGTTTATTTGTCTATAAGAGACAGGGAATAATCCAAGCAAACTCAGCCTCTCCTGATAAGACAAATGCTTTAGACCGTCGACCATCTTTGTCGCTCTGCGTTGCACCTGTTCGCGTAAGTTGATATCCTTCCTCATCCATGGTGAAGCTGCTGGCATTCTATACTCCAGATGAGGTCTTTCAAAGATACCAAAGAGACTTTCGAAGAGTTCGGGAGGAAATATTTTAAATGCACGTCTGATCCAGGGTAGAGTACTAGTTGCCTAGCTGTTCCGGAGCTGGAACGTATGTAGTCTGAAGGAATGTCCGAGGATGTTATATGCTGTGTCACATTGAAAAAAGTTATCGCATTAAAGGGCGCAATCCAAACCACTCACGATATGGAAAGCTTGTACCAATTGTCCGCGCAACAGCTTATAACTCCGAGTATAGATATAAAGGCAATTTATGCGGATTTCTTATGACACTGACCTTGACCTCTTAGCAGTTTCCTGGCCCACCTCTGCACCAGTTTAAGTGTATTGTAATCCTACTACGTCCAAATTTTGATCATATTTTCAAGATGTGACTTTACAAACGTGCCGTAGACTTTGGGAAAGCATTCTTCATCGAGAACTATGAATGTCCGCCTTATGGTGTAATGCAATATGATTGCGGTCTTTGCCGCGTGGCAACATTCCTAAAGAAGGCTTTATGTTTTCTGTAATCCAAACTGCGAGATCTTTGTTCTTCTGCCTCTCGGAGTGGCATTCCGTTCTAGTGGTATTGCCCCGTAGGTCAGTACAGGTCGGTGTATTTTAAGGGTAATAGGCAATGCCTTTTAAAACCCTACTGAAAACGGTACATGCAATATCTAACTTTAAATACACATGGTACTATACTTTTGTGAGTAATATACACACGTAACCGCATATTTATCATTGACAATTCAGGACCGAAATTCGAGAACATTCAGTTGTTGATGATAACGGTAAAATGAAATGACAATCATCCGCATTAGCGGTAAGTGTATGCACGGCGTTGGTTTGGCACCACAGAGCTGTTCTGTCCAGACAAGCGGTGTTGTCCAAGCAAATAAACATCTAGTCTTTGCTTGAACGTCTCCGTGGTATCCACCATAATTACGTCCTCGGGAAGCCCGTTCCAGGCACCGACGACTCGCTGTGAAAAAGGATATCCGCGAACGTCCACGCGGCATCGGGATCCTCTAAGTTTTAGAGAATTCCCACGCGGGTTTGTTGTTGTGGTCAGGGTGAAGATATCGTCGAGGTTTAGGGCGCAGTCCCGGTTCCTCAATATCCGATACGCCTGTATGAGATCACCTTGAACCTGCCTGTACTTAAGATGAAAGATTTTAAGTACACTTAGTCCGCAGTTATAAGGTAAAGTCCTGAGGCTTTTCACAACTTTTGTCGTTAGCGATCGGATTTCGATTTCCGTAACGCATTAAGGTTCATTTGTTCGAACTGAAGAGCAGGAACCATCTGCGAGATCACTCGTCCACTCGACAAAGACTTTCTTGGAAGTTGTTTTCGTCGGCAGCATACGAATGACTTGCCGGACTTTTATATCATCTGCAAACATGGCATAACGACTGCGCAACTCCTCTGCACGACCATTAACAAACAGGAGAAAGAGAGTTGGTCCGAGCAATGGGCCTTTTAGGACTCCACTCTATATGACTGTGCGTGCTGATTGCTGCTGATCCACACAAGCAATTTTGGAACGACTGAAGAAGACATTCTCTATCCATTTAAAATTTTGCCTCCGGTGTCTATGACGTTTAACCTGAAAGGAAACGGTAGTGCGGAACACTGTCGAAGGCATTCAGGAAATCAACATAGGCAATAGGGACAGTAGGTTTTGCATCAAGTGTTTTGCCCAGCCTTGCACAATATGCAGCAAGTTCGTTTCACATGAACTTCCCCTATGAAAACTGTGTTGTGCCTCAGGCAAGAAGTTGTGGGCTTCCAAATTAGCCATAAATTCCTTTTTGATTATCTTCTCCATGAGTTTGCTGCAGACTGGTATTGGAGTAACGAGTATGTAGTTAGTCACAAGAGCGCCACTAATGTTCTTGCAAAGCCACGTAGTTTGGGCCGTTTTCCAGTCTTTGGGAAGGATTCAAGTATCACAAGTTTCTTGGCACAGAAAGGATGACGGTTTGACCAACTCTCGGGCAAGTTCAGACAGCAGCTTCGTTGGAATCTCGTCCGGACCGGGAGATGCACATTCCTTCAAGCCTTCCATTTCTTCGAAAATCACTTCTGCTCAAAGCACGATATTTTCGGTAATCGGTTCTCCCACGCCCTCGGAAATAAGTAGAATATAAACTGCTTATCTTATGAAGAGAGGCTGTGAGGACTGAGAAAAAGATTCAGCTTTCTTTGTGCTGTCCGATGTGCCCAAGCCGTCATCGTAAGTCCTAAATCCTTTGACTTCCAACCTACACCCGGTTTCCTAACCCTTTATTATTGTGGCTGCCTTCTCACTCACTAGCCTCTATCTTCTACGCTCCCTCTTCCTCCTTCATAATTTAACTACCAACAAACATATGTCTTTTCTAACTCCCTTAGCATCACAACTCTCCGAAACTATATCCCTATATCTTCTCGGACTCCTGCCCAATCTTCTCTTGCTGGATCCACGTACGTTAATAACTATAGACTAACTGGTTATTATTCTCCAAGCATCAGTAATTCACATCGTTCATATCCCTATATTATTACCGAAAAAAAACAAGGGAGACTGAAATGGCCATTTCTGGCTTATTTGCAGTCGTCAGCCAGTCATACCCAACCCCGAAGTGTAGAACACCCGAGGCTGGAACTCGCGACCTGTTCATTAGAAGTCCACGCCTCTAACCACTGAGCCACGATCCCGTTGCCTTGTCGGTTTCGATCGGGAATATACAATGTTAGGGGGCGCTCACCGATCGTTCTTACGGAACTCACTCGTTCCGTTGTGTCTTACGGACTCCTTCACGAGCCCAACCAGCAGCTGCACAGCGGCGCATGATATGGGGGGTATGTTATTACCGACAAAGACAAGGGAGACAGGAATGGCCATTTCTGGCTTATTAGCCGTCGTCAGCCATTGCATATTCCGGATCGAAACTGACAGGACAACGGGCTCGTGCCGGAGTGGTTAGAGGCATGGACTTCTAACTAACTGGTCGCGAGTTCCAGCCCCGAGTGTTCCACACTTCGGGGTTAAGTATGATTAGGTGGCGACGGTTAGTAAGCCAGAAATGGCCATTCCAGTCTCCCTTGTCTTCGTCGGTTATAACATACTACCTACATCATGCGCCGTTGTGCGGCTGCTGATTGGGCTCGAGAGAGAGCCCGTAAGGCACATCGGAACAAGTGAGTTCCGTAAATACGGTCGGTGAGCGCCTAGCACCATTACATGTCTCTCCAAAATTTTTTGGTTAAAAACCGTCGACAGTAGCCTTGATGTTCGAAACACATTAGATATTTTATTATTGAATGCCATGTCTGTCATAAACAGGATGGCCAAATCATAGTCATTGCTCTCGAAATGACGCGTGATATAATATGTATAACAGAAAGTTGGAGCGGTCTGAATAGCCGAATCTGCCTCCATTATAGATGACTTTGATTTCTGCCGTCAAGACCAGACAACTAGGCGTGGGGCCGGTTGTCTCTTTATAGTAGATCCTACGTAAAGCAATTTGCATATTATCTGGGTGCCTCGTAATTAACAGGAAACTTCTGCCTCGCATCAGATATTCTCTCGCCACTAAGGAAGAAAATTATTGGCTGTATCTACAACAACAAAACGCCTCAGCTAGTGATGATTCCCAACTCTGCAAAATTTGTAAATTAATTTCGGAAGCTGCTTTCAATCTTAAAATAATCAT